GTCAGAGGTAAATTACAAATAATAAGTTTATGTGATAACTTTCTTTCTATCTAGGACTTTCTTACATGCCAGATCAAAGATCCTCAAAATTCTTTATCCACTGTTCATACCATCTGTTCCTCACATTGTCTGGGACTGTAATTTAACATCAGTGGGGTGAAAACTAATTTGAAACGTTTGACTATTCCTAAATATGTACAATCTTTACCAAAGCTCAACTCATTGTTATTCCTTTTGCTATGCTGGATGGTAACATCCAGGGAATTCTGTACAAAAATCTTACTTGCCCACGTAGAATGCCCATGTTTTCCCCCCATAATTTTTACAGAAATGAGCAAGTAAGACATATTACAACCCTGGAGGATCTTCTGATTGGTACTTATTATATTTATCAACATATAGAATAAACATGTAAGAAATATTACAAACTTTATTTTCTCTGCTGCTAAGGTATTAATAAAATTATTATTCATATCTATATGCAATATCTGGAGTTTTCTCCTCTTCATTATTATGTTTGTGTGTTTTAAGAGTTTAATTAACTGAATTGTTAGTGTTATGTTTGTTTAATAGGCTTTACCTGTTGTATTAGATTTTATGATGTATATCTTGTACTTTAATGATCTGTGACTGCATAATAAATGCTCACTTGCAAAAAATAAAACAAAACAAAACGGTTCCAGGATGAAAAATCTGACTGCTTATGAACACCAAATCTCTAAGGTGGAGTAGATTGCTGACTGTTCACAGACTTTCAGGCAGTAATCTTCCCCCAGGCAACATCTGCTGTTATTCTCTTACTCCACCACAAATCATAAATCTGCTATGTTCAAATTATGTGTCCCTCCTCATTCCTCACACTGACTCTTGCTGACTCACTATCCAGGTTGACCTACCTGCTGGAGGTGGCCTAGAACGTTGATCCTGCAATCAAATATGCCTTTCCCCTCTGAGGAGTATAGGTTGTAGAGGAACTCAGTGGTGTAGTGCTCGTGGCACTTCTCATTACTAAGGAGAGAGCACAAGGAAGGGGAAAAAACCCTTAGATACTTTAGATAACTACATCTGTTGCATAAAAGGCAACGTAAAAGTATCCTGGCAGTGACGGAGGAGTAAGAAGAGAAGGAGAAAGGAGGAGGAGGAAGGAGGAAGCGGAGAGAAGAGGAATAGTAGTGGCAGCAGTGTGGGGAAGAAGAGGAGGAGAAGGAAGGAAGGAGGAAGAGGAGGAAGCGGAGCAGCAGGAGGCAGTGAGGAAAAGGAGGAAGAGGCAGTCCCCTGCTGCGGTGCGATGGGCTTTGGGGGGATGGGGCGGCAAAGTCCCACTGTCCCCAGTGGTGGTGCGGCCGTGTGGCTGCGTTACCATTGAGTACTATGGGACTTGAGCATTCACGGATTTTGGTATTTTGGAATTTTGATTTTGGAATGGATCCCCCATGGATACCAAGGGCCCACTGTATATTGCTTGTAAATAAAGTAAAACAAAACTTCAGTAAGTGGGCAAAATGGAATGCAAGCAACCTTTTGCCTTCCCTAGCCCACAAGGAACTGGGTCTGATAAGCAGCTGGCAAATGTTTACATAGTAGACCCTAACAACTAAATGAGCTATTATGGAACCAGTTGGTGAACACTGGCAAAACAACAGCTGCCACTGTGCTAGCCTTGCTCTTGAGAGATCTCCTCCTCCTCCTCTGTTTTTTTTTGGCTGATCTATAGAGGAGCCCATTAGATCTCCACCTGGCAGAGAGCCAAGTCCAATCTCACCAAATTTATACACCACCAATCTCTTTTCAGTATTTCAGAGGTTTCTAGACTGCAATCGTTTCATTTGTGCTAAATTCAGCCATGCAATAGAGGTATATGTTCTGGCAACAGACCAGGCAATGGATCAGCAGAGTATACAGACCCATGCCAATCCTATGGCCCAACATTTGATGGTGCTATCAGTCCTCATTCCTGCATACATCTAAATCAGTCCCCCTAATTCTACTGAGTGCAATATGTTTGTTCCCTCATTTCTTGGATACTGAATAATGATGACTATGTTCTTCATCATCTTTAGAGTATTACTGCTAAGACTGAGTCCAAATCTCTTGCTGGCCTAATCAATTATCACAAACATTTCATCTACTGTACAAACAGCTGCTGCTGTAGGGTCAAACTAACATGTAAAATAATAATAACAACAACAACAATAATGGAGTTCAAGCTTCTTCCATCTCAGATAATCATAAAAAATTACATACTTTTCCTAAACAGGGAACATTTCAGAGGCCTTTCTATAACTCACCGCAACACCAGACCTCTCTGAATGTCTGTTTTCATTTTGTCAGTCAAATGTTCAACATTTGCCTGGAAAGACACAAAGAACAATAGCTTTTATCGGATGCACTTTTGCTGATTAAAGAAAAAGCCTGAGATTTTACACAAAAGAAGGAAACATTTGAGCTAGAGAGAAAATGAGATAAGATATAATTGTTTTGCTATTTACTTTGGCATTTGTTCCCTTGATATCACTATAACTGGTGTTATAATCAACACTCATCAGGGTAACAAACAACTGACAAGAAGCCCTTAGCCAGGAAGAAAGCAATTTTTTTATCATTCAAAAAATCCCAGTCATCTTCACTCTTGTAATCCAGAACCTACAACTTTCAGTCCTTGACATGTTCATATAAACACCAGTTATACTGATATCAAGGGAAGAAATGCCAAAGTAAACAGGCCCATATAGTACAAGTAATGATTCTACTCCATTCAGAATAAGAACTAAAAGGACAGAAATATCAAAAGTGAGAGAAATGCTCACCATCATATCCTAGCTTGTTCTTGTCCAGTCATTTGCCTGTGACCATGAGATCAATGGTTACTGTCAAAACTATCTGGTGTCACTGATTTGACTACTATTGGAATATGAGGCACCCTACCCTATGAGGCAAATCCATTTACTTGTAGTTTTAAACTGCTTACTTGAAGGGGATAATTATTTGCATTTTCACCTTCTGGCATTTTTCACCCTACCTTCTTGAATTTGGTTTACCCCAGTATGATGAAATGGAGGGGAGTACACAGCAGAGGTTACTTTTCATGGTCAGATAACAGAGTACAGAAGGGACACTGAAGAACAGGACAAAGAATTTCCACTGCTCCACTGGACTGTGATCCCTATTAAACATATATAGTAGTAGTCTTGTTGTGTGCCTCCAAGTCATTTTTGATTTATGATTACCCTAAAAGCGAACCTATCATAGGGTTTTCTTAACAAGTTTCTTCAGAGGAGGTTTGCCATTGCCATTCTCAGAGGCTGATTCCCAAGGTCACGGTTTTTATGCCTGAGCAGGGATTTGAACCCTAGTCTCCAGAGTTGCAGTGCAACACTCAAACCACTACGTCACACTGGCTCTCATAACATGAAGTAAATACGGTACTATGATCTGCATTGTGGGATATCAGCCTATAAGTAGGAGTGTCCCATCTGAGGCTGCCTTCTTTGTTTTATATGAGTAGAAACTTTTACATACAATGTTCTTATCAGAAATGTGTATTTAGTAAAGCAGTTTTTCAATCTGCAAAAGGTGCAACTATAAAATTTCACTAACTGGAGAACTGCTGTTGTAGGAGTGCCTTGCCACAATCTCACCCATGCTATTTTTCCTAAAGAGGAAAGTCAAATGCAGGCATCTCTTCTTCTCCCTGCACAATTATTCTCTTTAAAACCCAAATTGTGCATGTCTTCCCAATATGGTGTATATGAGGGGCTATTATAAAGTAATAATTATCACCAGGAAGTTATGATGATATACTGATGAAATTTTGTCAATGTCATCATTGGTCTCTAAATTCATGATGTTGAGAAAATCAGCTCACTGTGTCCTTTATTTTTGTTACAGGTTGTGCCAGAAGTGACTAAAGTGTTAAGATGGAGAAGTGAGAGGGGGTGTTGTAAAGTAATAATTATCATCCGGAAGTTATTATGGTATACTGATGAAATTGTGTCAGTGTCATCATGACCAAGTGACCTTTTCTTTTCCCAAATATGAAAAATCCATTGCAGGGTCACAGATTTGAAAACACAGATGATGTCATTCATGAAGTGGAAGAGTGGTTAAAGGCGCAATCTGCAGACTTATACATTAATGGTATTGGGAGGTCAAGAAACACTGGGAAAAATGTGTAAATCTGGATGGTGACTATGTAGAAATAAGTTAACAACTACAAAACAAAACAAAACAAACTTTCTAATTTTTTTAACAGTGATAATTCAAACTTTACGATACCCACTAGTATAAAAGAAGTAGAGGTGGGGGGAATAACATCACATTTTGTCTTAGGTTGCAGTTACATAGGGACACATGTCAGTGGTTAGCAGATGGTTCAAGGAATGCTATTTGTTCACTTTGCCATCATCATTTACTAGATTTCCACTGCCCCTGAACTTGGAGGCCAAGATTTGCTATTGCAGGAAAGAGTTACAAAAGAAAGATGCAATTTTTTTGGCCTCATTTTTAATGTCATCTGAATTGTTACTACTACAGAAGGCCTTAAGTCTTCTGTCTCTGCCAGTTTACTTCAAATAGCCATATAGTTGCAGAATTCTCCTTTCTTCCCATCTAGAGTGTATCTTGACCACAGCACATTTAACATGAGGAGAGCCCATCTTTTTTGCTTCATTACACAAAGCAATGCTACAGAAAGACCACAATATACATAAAATTCCAATGCCACTGTACCTTTAGATCATGAATAGTGAAAGGCTCTTCGTAGACATAGGCAGCATCTGCTCCCACTGCAATGCCAGTCACAGTTGACAAGTAGCCGCAATAACCCCCCATTGTTTCCACAATAAACACACGCCGTTTTGTGCCAGAAGCAGATTGCTTGATGCGGTCACAGCTCTATATGGCAAGAGAAGAAGGAAAATAAAATTTTAGTTGCCCAGATGTTGGTAGGCATTGGCAGTGGAGAGCTGCAGACAAGCAGGCAAATGGTTTATGGTACTAGGGTTGAAATCCTTGACTTTAGACATATGTGGAAGGAATTTCAACCAATAGTAACCATCCAGAAAGAGATCTTGACTAAGTTCAATGAACAATTTAACCCAGTGTATAAAGATAATAAAAGAAGAATAATTCCATGTTAAAGATTACTAGGCATAAGTCTGAAAATAAATATAAATACCTTTATATCGATCTATGATACAGAGACAGCTGGAATATTTTATATGCCTTATAATTTCTATATTTTGTGTAATTTGTTCATTCAAAAGGAGCAAGAAAAAGTGCCAAATGGTGCAACCACAATGATCAAAAGGGTTGGAGCTCCTCTCTACTCAGTGGAGGAGGGTAGTTAATGCACTATATTACTCATATTCTTTTTCCCACACTTTCTCTTGCTCTTACTCAGATTCTCAGTGAATGAAAGAAAAATATATTGAGGCAAGAAATGTTATATAACTGGTCTCCAAACATGCCCTGCCCCCCAGAATACTATCACCACCCCTAGCTCACCTCCATGGCAGCATTGACAGCTGTATCAGATCCCACACTGAAATCAGTACCAGGAACATTATTACTGATGGTAGCTGGTATCACACACATGATGATACAAAGTTCATCATACTGTCCACGTGCTTCAACCAACTGTAGCACTCCCTCATAAGCCTGCAAAAGACAAAAAACATGTAACAAACATTTGGAAACATAAGACACATAGTTAAGCCCAAGCACCAGAATGCTAGTAGTACAAAAATCTTAGCACATTCTTAACACCACAACAAAGAGTTTTGATTTGATTGACTGGAGACAACTGTATCTTTCTTTCCTGGTTATTTGCTGTGGACCAGCACTGGTCCATGGACCACCACTCTGAGTAGTTTACTAAACAATAAGGAAGTAAATCATCATTTATTTCACTCTCACATGTAGCAATGAAGAATTTCAAATATTTTCCCTTCATTGGGCAAAAGATGAACATTTCTGTGTATTTGTGTAAAAAATCTGGGGGATTTGCATAAAACACATTGTTTAGTGCTCATAAATGTTTTCTGGCATATTTTTGTGCCAATTTTGAAAAGGTGCAAAAATGCAAAAAGGTTTGCAAATGCAAAAATCTTGTGATGGTTGACCATTTTTCAATGGAGGATGTTCTTTGAATCTATGTTGAGACACCCGTTTTTCTGAAGGATGAAAAAAATTGTTAGTATTCTTTAAA